CACAGCGATTAACTCTTGGATTGGTTTGCATTACCAGAGATTAGGGTAAGGGCTCGAAATGACCTTGAGGGGAAGGTGTTAGACACCCCTCTTGGTCCACAATTGTGGGTCCCGACCGAACTTATATTTACGAATTAGTCCATTAACAAATAAATACTTGAAACAAATAATTACAAATAAAGCACGTTTGTATAATAAGACAAAGGTTTTGGATAAGTTGTATTATAAAACAAAGTTTAAACAAAAGGAATTTTGAAAAGGGGGAGTCCTAGGTTGGTTAGCATATAGGATCGCCCCACACAATGTCTGGTAAACACTCATCAATGAGGGGCTACACGTGACATTAGCGCTTAGTCATCATATCCCATATCTACCCTTCTCACCCCCTTAGTGGTCATTAAAGCGAGCGTTGGTCAGCGATCTCTATTGCGTGCTATTACCCGTCCCTTCTTAATGGTCCTGGAGAAATTTTAGGACCTCTACCTATGGGTAGTTCTAGACAGACCCCTAAGGTTTTAAAGGTAAAAATACTAAGGCGACAGGCAAGAACAATTAGGACCTTAGCACATAAGACAAAAAATGAGCAATTAAAGGCTCAAGTTTACCTCCTCAAACAACACACATAAGCAACACGACTCAAACACAAATAAGAACCTTTTATTAAACAGTATCCTAAGGCATGCTATCTAAGTGAATATCAAGACACAGAAGATAGGCAGTTTGTTTTAAAACTCAGAAGTAATGGCCCTATCAGTTTGCCTACTGATTTTTAAAGCATGTTAAAATTAGAAAGACATTAAGCCACCGAAACAGTTTCAGAGTTGCAAGATTTTGAAAACGCCCTATAGGTTTGCCTATACGTGGAATACTGATAGCTACGTTTTATATAGTAAAACAAGGTAGGTTTTTAAAAAACAGACTCTTGAATCCTTATAGGCATGCTGTCTAATGGTAGATTAAGGCAGTTTTTGAAAGAACTTGTTTCAGGGAAAATAAACCATTAATGAAACTAATTTCGAAGTGAACTAATCGTGGATTGATTTATTTAAACTAAACTAGTTTAGATCTATAGGCAGAATTTCTGGTGTTGTTCCCTATAGGCATTATATCTAGTTGTTTAAAACTAATTTTAGAAACTGGTAGGCATGATAACTAATGAAAACACATGTAAACATCCATTATAACAGAAGTTGGACTGGATCATGTTCTATAGGCATGGTATCTATTTGTGATACTGATTTTAAGACCTATAAACATGATTTCTATTATTGAGACCTATAGGCATGATTTCTAACATGGCAAGGCAAAACATAACAAAATATAAAGTCCTATAGGCATGGTTTCTACCCGTATTATCCCACAAACATGTAACTACCCACCGTTGCCCAAATATTCGTTTACAAATTATTACAGACCATATGAATGAACATAAGTAGATAAGAAAATAAAAAGTTATTCTATAGGGAGCCTACAAATAGGTCCATATTTCCAAAGCCTCTAATAGCCTCAAATGCCCAAATTCCATAGACAATGTCATTGTCTAGGTGCGTCAAAGTTCCCTAAGGATCTCAAGGATCCTGGGCAGTGCTCACACATAGACTTGGTAACCAAATTGACTAAGTGCAATGTGGAAGGGCTAGATTCAGTGTGCCAGAGTTCAGAGGGTTCTCAAGAGGATCCCAAGGCAGTACACACACTGGAGGGGGCAGAACCTAGTGACTTAGGTGTAGGGTGAGAGTGCTTGACATAGTTTGAAAGGTTTCAGTAGGAAAACAGTATTAAAAGACATTAGCTTGAAATGGTTTTGTAAATACACATAGGGAGTTATTGAATAATACAATTTAAAAAGGGTAAGTGATCAACAATCAACCAAACCAAATACAGAATTAGAAGAAGTTTATTAGCACTTCAATACATGAAGTCAGACAGGTGCACACATCCAGTTAGGGGGTAATGGGGATTTGGGGTAAGTATAGGGCACATAGTAAACATAGATACACATAGGTACAGAACCATAAAGGCCCTTAAAAGGGGGTCAAGGCTTTTTAAAGTATAGCATGAATAAAATCAAGAAGCTTAGGATATCCAATTACTTTACACAGGAAGGGGGCATGCCAGGGATCAGGGAAACACATACACATTAATACATACTAGAAGGGGATCCTAAAAGGTATATAGCATGCAGTATAGAAGACAACAAAGTAGACATGCTAATTACAGGTTGAACAACAAAACCATAGGTAAAAGCATATTAGAAACATGACAAATTGAAGTAATAGGAGAAGCATATTGTTTTTGGGACTTGAATTAAAATTGGAACATACCAGTGTAAACACAGAGTAAGGAGAAAGAGAGTAGAGTAATCAGCCTTGGCTTGCAGCCGGCTGACTTAGAACAATAGCAAGTAACTAGATAAAAGAGAGCAGAAGAGAGTTTTGTGTGTGAGAGAGCTTTTGAACCAATGTGTTCGTGTGTTTGTGCTAATGAGAGTGTGTGTATATATAGTAGTTCAAAACTAGGTAAAAATAAGGCAAGAATCATAGTAGCATAGTAATTATGGAACCAAGTACTAATCAAAATCAAATCAATGCAAGTACCCCTTTAATTAAGGGTAATCAACCAACGGTAATAGGCATAAATGATTAAGGAAAGAAATCAAGTAGAGCATACGGTACAAAATAGAAAATTAGGGGTAAGTACATCGGGGTTCAATTAAGGAAACAACTAATGAAGAATCGGTAAAATACTCAGTTAACCAAATAAGGTAAGAAAACAAAATAAAGTTGCAGAGTATGGAAATAATCGAAAATCAGCATATAGTAAATCATGGAATCAAGGATTCAAAATTACTGATTTAAGGAGAGCAACATGGGTTCCCAAGTTTAAACAAGAAAATCGAAGGTCTAAAGGGAAAGTTTTCAAATCAAGCCAAGAAACAAGGAGTTCAGAGTCAATCAAAGAGAGAGTTTTAGCATATAAAAGAGTGAGATAGGAGTAACCAAACATAGCAAGCAAAGAGGCAAGTATTGACCAGTTAAGATGAACACAAACACATAGAAGTGATATAAGTTGGGCTGGGTCGGGTAGGCGGGTTCAGGGTTTGGGTCGGGTATTTTAGCCTGAAATTGGGCTGGGCAGTGGGTTCAATTGAGGCTATGATTGAAATACAATCTGGCTATATTTTAAATAGCCAATTTATCCCTATATAATTTATAATAAATAATTTCTGGAAAATAATTTTATGTACTAAAATGATTTAAAATAAATTTTTAATGTTTTAAAAATATAGAAGATCATTTTATGCATATAAAACGTAATTGTACATTAATAAGGCTAATATTGTAATTATATGCAATTTAGCTTTAAAAATACAAAATGCAATTATAAAAATGCATAAAAAAATATTTTAACAATATTTTGGCATAAATATAGAAATTAAATGATTAAATCACCACAACAATAATTTGAGGGATAATTATTGGGGATTTTATGAGTAAAAGAGAAGGAAATAAATCAATTTAAAATCTTTAAAATTATAGAAAAATTATAAAAACCTTGTGCATGCATATATATTCTATTTTGAAGGTATTTATGCATATAAAAATATAGAGAAAAATTGGGTATCAACAGCTGCCCATCTTTATCCGGGAAGGATGAAAGAGTTTTAGGGTAAAGAAATGATAGCCAATTTTGACCGGGCGGGATGTTTTGAAAGATAGAGGTCAGGCTCTGGCCTTTGAGCTGCCTATATATCCCTGGTTTGATAGGAATCAGGCCGCGTGTAGTTCTGGATTCATTGGCAGAATATGCCGATGAAATTATTGCAAGAACGGACACGAGATGCAAAGTGCTTATGGCGAGCGGTTGAAGCTCGGCATAGTTGAAGGAACTGGAGCGAGATTGATCCTTCTAGGATAGCGGTTGCTTAGTGGCTACCTGCGGATAAGAGATGCTACAAACATGCACTTGCGGAAAAAAATTAAACATGATGCAAATTCCCTTTGGACCATGAAGGTTGTCTTCGGACGGTTAAAGATGACGTCCTCAGACCATGACGTCCTGGGCCATGAATTGTTTGGTGAGGGACTCACAGGCCATGAAATGATGTTCTCGGGCCATGAAGATGGTGCCTCTGAATCATGACGCCTTTGAATAATGATATGCAAGTTTGAGGGGTCCTCAGGCCATAGCATGGTGTCTTCCGGCTATGAAGATGATGCCTTTAGACTATGACGTCTTTGGATAGATTGGTGATATTTCAGCCCATGATATGCAATAGTCATGATGTTAACAAGACAAAGCTTAGTTTTGTGAAATGAAGGGCAGAGCTTAGCCCGATTGGAAAGCGAGTAAATAGTACTAGAAATAAAGCAATATTTATGCAAAGAGGAACAACACTTAGTCCCGTGCAGATGGGGAGGCAAGGATTAGCCTCATACAAATATGGAGGCAAGGATTAGCCTCATGCAAGTATGGAGGCAAGGATTAGCCTCGTGCAAATAGGGAGGCAGGGATTAGCCTCAT